AACCCAGGGCCTCATGCATGCAAGGCAAGTGCTCTACCATCTTCCCAGCCCCTGGCAATGGAATCTTTATTTATTCATTTTGGTATGTCATAGGGCTTGAGCTCAGGGCATGGGCGCTGTCCCTGAGAGCTTTTGCTCAAGGCTAGAAATTTACTGCTTTGAGACGCAGCTCCACTTCCTGTTTTCTGGTGGTTAATTGGAGGTAAGTGTCTCACAGATTTTCCTGTCCCAGTTGGTTCTGAACCACAATCCTTAGATTTCAGTCTCCTGAGTAGTTAGAATTACAAGTGTGAGCCACTGGTGCTGGGCTGGAAATGGAGTCTTGAAGACTTTTTTTTTGTCAGTCGTGGGGCTTGAACTCTGGGCTTAGGCGCTGTCCCTGCACTCTTCAGCTCAAGGCAAGCACTCTGCTGCTGGCTCCACAGTGTCACTTCCTGTTTTCTGGTGGTTTATTGGAGATAAGAGTCTCAAGGACTTTCCTGTGGGGGCTGGCTTTCAATAATGACCCTCAGATCTCAGCCTCCTGAGTAGCTAGGATTACAGGCAGGAGCCACCGGTGCCCGGCTTGAAGACTTTTCTTCCAGGGTTGGCTTCAAACCTCAAGACCCCAGGGATTAAGCCCAGCCAAGGATCCTGTGGAGATCAATGATGGACAAGCCAAGACTGAAAAAAAAAAAAATCAATGAAGTTTAAGTAGCTAAAGCCCCCATAGTATTTTAAGCATGCTAGTTGGAGCTGGAGGAAGGATGGGTACTTGAGAAGAGAAAGCGGAGTAATTTAGGCCAGTTGGATTTGGTGAGTCAGGCCAAACAGAAAGGAGTCACGCAGCACTACTGGTAGATGCTGGGTGGACCAGCCTGCTTGTCTAAATCAGATGGTAGGGGACACAGATTTAGAGGTTTGAAATGACGGAGGCTGCAGGAAAGAATGCAAACAATCCTAGAAACTATTAGGAATCTACTTCTCGTGGGGCATTAATGCCCAAGATATAAACAGATCCATGGGGCTTCAAAAAATATTAGAAACATCATAGTCCAGAAAGCAACTCTGTTTATTCTAATAAAGGAGCAAAAGGGCCAATCTTGAAATTTTCAGAAGGGAATTGGTAATGTAAAAAAATCAGAAATGAATCACTAATTTTAGAACTAAAAAAGTAAAATAATTGAAATAAGCAGATTTAAAAGGAAGTTAGAAGTGGCTGAAGAGAAAAATCAATGAGGAAGGAGGGTAGGGGAAAGTCAGTGAGCATGGATGGTATAAAAAGATGGAAAAGGAAAGAAGCAGAGAGCCCGTGAAGGGCTTAGCAATCAGGTAACTGGAGATGCAGGAGAGGAGAAAATGGGGAGGAGCAATACTTGAAAAGATAGCACTAAAGAACTGATGAAAAGATATCAGTCCATATTCAAGAAGCCTAATGGAAGCTAAGCCAAACAAAAGCAGAAATCCACACTTAGAAACATCATAATGATGCTGCAGAATGCCAGGAACAAGGGCAAATCTTTTAAGATTAGATAAATCAGAGAAATAATATTAGTTTCAAAGGAGTAACAGTGGGACCAACATTTCAATAACAAAACCAGAGCCCAACAAATCATGGAATCAGCTTTCTCATATGAAGAAAGAAAACTGCCAATATACAATTTTGTACAGAGTAAGAAAATCAGCATAAATTCACAAAATTGAGATGTATGAGAGGCAAAAGCAGCAACAATTTTTTTGAAAGTTAAAATGCAGTTGGACAAGTAGACACTGATTCAGACCTAAGTTAGCAGTGAGAAAAACTCAGCACCATTGCAATCTACACTGAACAATTTTCACACAGTTCAGAAACCAACACCAAATACTTGCGTAACTCAGGGGATGGGCACTGGCTAAAATACATGGCTGCTTGCAAGCTATCTAGGAAAAAAACAAATCTTTAGATGGTTCTCTCACTGATGGCCACCTTTCCCATCCCCACATTTCCTTATTCTTGGCACAACACAATGGAGGATTATGTTGTCCTGAGGGCAAAGCTAGGGATTTTGAACAGTCTTGTGCATATGCAATTTTGGATCTGGGCATCCATAGATCTCATAGAAGTAAGCTAGGTGACTGTCTTTACGGCATGTGTCTAGCCTGAGAAGGCTAGCCCTTAAAAGGCTTGTTTGACCATTGTGCTGAAAAGTTCAATATCTTTAGAATTGAAGCTCTTTGGTCTCCCCCTTAAATATAAGGATTGGAAAAAACCTCAGTAGTCAGACTAGAACAATCTCTGGGCGCAGAAAACAATCTGGAGAAAAGTTAATTAATTATACAATCATATAGTACAGAACATTTTAATAACTATCCTTAAAATATTGCAGCTGAAGATATGGCTTAGTGGTAGTGTGCCTGCCCAGCAAACAGAAGGCTCTGAATTCAAACCCCAGTACTGACAAAAAAACACAAAGGAAAAAAAAAAAACACCCCAAAACAACATAAAGGGCACCAGTGGCCTATGCTTGTAATCTTAGCTACTCAGGAGGTCAAGATCTGAGGATTGCAGTTGGAAGCTAGCCCAAGCAGGAAAGTCCATGAGCCTCTTCTCTTCAATTAACTACAAAAACACCAGTAGTGGAGCTGTGGCCCAAGTGGTAGAATACTAGCCTTGAACAAAAGCTCAGGGACAGTGCCCAGGTCCTGAGTTCAAGCCCTAGAAAACCAGCACATGTGTGGGAACATGCATGCATGTACACACACACACGCACGCAAGCAAGCACGCACGCATCCATGAAACAAGGCTGGGACATAAGCTGATTCTACTGGCTCCAGACTCCAGTAGACAACTCTTTTTAAGTTCTCTGGAACACAAGGGGTTTAAAAGCCTACCAGTCACATTCCTAGACTCCCTTGCAGTTGTTTTTGGTTGGGTTCTGCCTCTGGTAGCAGAAGCAGCAGTGGGTGATGGTGTTTCAGCTCTTTGGCCAAAACAGCATTGACAGTTGAGTGCAATGAGGGCAGGGCCAGGATTCCTGCAGAGTTGCAATGAGGATGGTTCAGCCATTCCTCCTGATGAGGTTCTAGCCAAACTCCCAACAACGCCCCCTGTGCTTGAAATAGCTGGAGGTTTCCAGCTATTTTTGAATAAACACTGCAACACTGTAAAATATAGAAATATTTAAAAAAACAAGAAAAACTTCCTGGATATTAAAAACAGAAATAAAAAAATTGAATGGAAAGGTTAAAAAACAATATTGGCTGTACCAATGTTGACTGAATTAGAGAAAGGCAAAGTTCAGACAGGGAAGGTGGTATAAACCTGAAATTCCAGCACTTGGAAGAGAGGCAGGAGAATTAGGAATTTGGATTCTTGGATATGGCAAAACTAAAAAATGGAAAAACAAAACCAAAAACCTAGAGACAAAAGCAAAAAACAAAACGTAAACACCATTAAGTGCTCAGAATTTAGTTACCAAGAGGAGGTAACTCATGGGCATCTGGCCTGGCATTTGCATGTAACTCACATGCATTGTAGCGATTGTACTGGGAAGTTTTTTGTTTGTTTTTAAGAAAGTAACTAAAAGGTACATGTATTTAGGATTATAAAATTAAACTTCCTTTAGGTTCTTGGCATAATCTGGTTCTTTCCAGTAAAGCAAGTACTTAAGATAGTTAACAAAAGCTGGGAGTCAGTGGCTCAAGTCTGTAATCCTAGCTACTCAGGAGGCTGAGATCTGAGGATCACAGTTCAAAGCCAGGAGGACAGGAAAGTCCATGAGACTTTTTTTTTTTTTGTCAGTTGTGGGGCTTGAACTCTGGGCTTGGATGCTGTCCTTGCGCTCTTCAGCTCAAGGCGAGTGCTCTACTGCTTGAACCACAGTGCCTCTTCTGGTTTTCTAGTGGTTTATTGGAGATAAGTCTCATGGACTTTACTGCCCAGGCTGGCTTTGAATAGTGATCCTCAGATCTCAGCCTCCTGAGTAGCTAGGAGTACAGGCATGAGCCACTGGTGCCCGGCTTTCTATGAGACTCGTATCTCCAATAAACCACCAGAAAACCAGAAGTGGCGCTGTGGCTCAAGTGGTAGAGCTCTGGCCTTGAGCTGAAGAGCTGAGGGACAGCACCCAGGCCCAGAGTTCAAGCCCCACCACCACCACCACCAAATAATAGTTAACAAAAGCTTCATCTTTGAAGTAACCTCTTTGGGCAAGAAAATTTAGATAATCTGGGTTGGCTAAACAAGGCACAAATTCCAACTCCAACTAAAACCGAAGTCCATTTCCAGCATCATCTGTCTCCTTCGTGATGGTGGTGGCCATAACCAGTGAGGACACCAGCCCCACACAGCAGATACCCAAAGTGGTTAAAACAGCTTTCAGAGAAATAAGTACCCATTTGAAGAAAACTAGAGAAAGACTATGACCTTCTTATTAACGACACTCTGAGAAGAACACTAAACATATTCATAGGATAAGCTTTATTTAAACATCTACAGAAATACAACTTGATGTCAAAATGCAAGTGTTTCCAAAGTGTTAAAATGATTATTCAATGCTAGAACTCGGCTCTTTCCTTTAGTCTGTCTCTGAATTTGGTAGTGGACATCATTGTGAAGGGTCTCTTTTCCCTGCTCATTTTCATTGTCTTCCTCTCTTTGGTCTTTGAGTGGCATGTTCCAGTTCTCTGGAAACTTCTCACGTTGTTTTCATTTCCAACAGAGGGCAAGGGCATTTATCTCTACTCTATCATGGGAAATCTATACCCCTCAATTCTCTTGTTCAAATTGTGGCTGTATAAACAGTGTCATGAGGAACTTCACATTACCAAAAAAAACACTTATTATTATTATTATTATTTTTTTTTTTGGTCAGTCATGGGCTTGAATTCTGGGCTTGGGCACTGTCCCTGTGCTTTTCAGCTCAAGGTGAGCACTCTACCACTTGAGCCACAGCGCCACTTCCAGTTTTCTAGTAGTTTATTGGAGATAAGAATCTCACAGACTTTCCTGCCCAGGCTGGCTTTGAACCGTGATCCTCAGATCTCAGCCTCCTGAGTAGCTAGGATTATAGGTGTGAGCCACCGGCGCCCGGCTTATAATTTCTTTATGCTATAACAGTAACCTTGTTTTTAATTAAAAAATGTTTTTTATTATGTCTCTACAAAGCTATAAAATATTTTAAAATACCTATGAAAACACTGAAAAAGCACTTTATAATCCTAAACTGACATGATATACCTTGTATGATTTACAACTAAGAAATAAGATAGTATACCCTCTGCATTTAAATTTCTGTATGATTTCAATAGGAATTTGTAAGATACAGCTGGAAAGACTTAAAAGAAAAGATTTTCAATTTCAACTCCAATTAAGTTTTGAAAAGCTACACACTTGCTGATAAGCACTAATGATAAGAAGAATCTGGAAGATTCATACCTAAGATTTGTATGCTAGGCATGCCAAGTGCTTCCCTGTAACTGACTGAAGTATTTTTCCCTTATTTTTTCCCCTTATATTTTAAATAAAAGTAGAAATATACATATGGTAAAAAAAAATGCACATAGTACAGAGAGATCTAAAGGAACAATATGCTTCTCTCATAGCAGATTTATGCCTTCAGTCATATGAGTAATTCACAAAATATTGGCTTTGGAGTCTTCTATCTGCACATACTTTTCAAGCTGTTGGAACTGTCTTGACTTGTCTTCTCTTATATCTCTGTTATAGAGGAAAGTCCTGCAGTCTTCCCCTTCATAAAGAAACTTTAAAAGGCAACATGCACACGGCTGAGTTCACACAGCACTTCTGACACCACTGGATCTAGTCACATCTCCACAATGTCCCAGGGGATCATTCCTAAAATTCAGGAATCACGTTTACTAGCAAGCCATTTCCAGCAACAAGAAAACCTTCTCTCCAACTAAATGAGGGGATCTGATCCTTGTAAAATAGAGAGACTTGCTCTCTGTTAGACATTTGGGGACATGATAATAGAAAATCTTTAAAAATTTAAAATTGTACCTGAAGAAAAACAAAAAACAAAAAAAAACACTAGCCAGCAACCAGGTGAAGGTCAAATCTTCACAGGGGAGCAAAGGGCAGGGGAGATGACACTGGAGTCTCTAGCTAAGACTACTCTAGCTGTCCCGAGAGGCTGGCGGGAGAGACTTACAGAGATGCTGTAGCACTCAGCCGAGTCCTTCCTGAATGCCGCGGATCCTTCTGGCCAGCTGCACATCCTTGGGGAAGAGAGTGACTCGGCCAGCATGTAAAGAGAGGAGATAGGCATCTTCAAAAAGGTGAACCAGAAATGCTTCTGCTGCCTGGGACAGAAAGAGAAAAACACTGATACAGAGGAAGAGCCGACACCGCATTTTCTTGGAGCCATGGTAACTTTAATCTGAGGCCTCAAAGGACTGAAGGAAAGTGTTAAGGAACCAGGTTGAACTCTTGTCACCACACAGAAGCTCTTTATAAATGCTCACCTGGTGCTTTTCAGGGGCCCAGATCCAGCCACACACTCCTCAGGTAGCCCCAGAATTCTAGAATTCTAAAATGCTCTTCCACCCACTCTGTCTCCAACCTCATAGTACCTTACCTCTTGAAGGGCCAACAGGGCCTGTGCTTGCCAACTGAAGTCAAAACCTCGAGTGAATTTACTGCATATTTCTCTTGCCTGGTGGAGAATGGGGTTGGGCAGGGGGTGAGTAGAGAATAATATTCAACCAAGATGGACCTCCAAAGGTCTCCAGAAATCTTCCTGTCATCATTCCATCCAGGCCCTGCATCTTAGGGTATGCCAGGGAGCCGGTGTCACCTCCTGTGAGCTTTGGGACTGACATCTCTCTTGGTGATGGTGGGGAACAGCAATGATGAGGAGGCAAATTCCAGGGTAGGATAAGGGATCAAAGGGTGGAGTCATGAGGGGTTTTACTTATGCAAACAAAGCGCACCATTGCAAAGGAAATGGGAGAAACCAATTCCATAAAGAATTGCAAGGTGCTTCTGGAGAGCTCATGTTTTCAGAAGAGGAAGAGCTCCCTCTAGGTTAGAGATGTCCCTCAGCCATCTGGATCAGAGTAGGCAGGGAACCTTCTCTGGGAGATTTAAAGAAAGAGGGTGCTGGGAGCCGGTGGCTCATGCCTGTGATCCTAGCTACTCTGGAGATCTGAGGATTGTAGTTCAGAGCCAGCCGAGGCAGGAAAGTCCATGAGACTCTTATCTCCAATTAACCACCAGAAAACCAGAAGTGGTACTGTGGCTCAAGTGGTAGAGTGTTCACCCTGAGCTGAAATGCTGAGGGACAGGGCCCAGACCCAGAGTCCAAGACTCACGAGCAGCAAAAAAACAAAAAACAAAACAAAGGAGGGAAGCATGGGTGACAGAAAATTCTCTAGAGCTTACCAGGCGAGCAAAGGGTGCCTTCCTTAACAAGAGGTATGTGCTCTTCTGCAGCTTCTGGACCTCTTTAAGCCAGCCGTATCTCCGCCGGAGGGTAGTGCCTGAGCACAAGAGAATTGGCTCATGAAGAGACAGTGCAGTGTATAGGTGGTGCCTTGCAGCTTGGGTCAGATGAAGATAGCTAGACACTCAAGTCATTAGACTTGACTTGTAATGGCTTTTCCATTATTTCCATTGGCTGGCACTCAATCACTTGGAGCTACATCTCCAGTTCTGGATATTTTTCTGGTTCACTTGAGATGGTCCAATCCAATCAGATCTCAGTCTCCTGAGTAGCTAGGATTACAGGTATGAGCCACTGGCACCCAGCAAGAGCAAGGAATTTTCTCTACTGTATTCATTGTTATTTGTAGGAACTAGAAAATGATAGATAAGATCTAAAGAAATATTTGTTCAATGAACGGATGAGCCTTTGAGGTTTGAGTGTTAACTCATCAATGCGGGGCTGGGAAGGTGGCTAAGTGGTAGAGCGCTTGCCTTGCATGCATGAGGCCCTGGGTTCGATTCCTCAGCACCACATAAGCAAAAAGAAAAAAGCCAGAAGTGGCGCTGTGGCTCAAGTGGTAGAGTGCTAGCCTTGAGCTGAAGAGCTGAGGGACAGTGCCCAGGCCCAGAGTTCAGGCCCCATGACCAGACCCAAAAACAAACAAACAAACAAACTCATCAATGAATCCTTTCCCCACACACCTCCCTACTGACAAGTTGCACCCCCTCTGCTGGGCCCCATGGTACCGGTCTATCTCTTATCTTTCTCATTTATACTGCAAACTCGTTATCTAGCACAATCCCCTTGTCTTGATTATTCTAGGGTGCAGAGAAGTAAAGGCAAGTTTGATACAGTTCACCCAGACCAAGGTGGGACACTGCAAGTAGAATAACTCAGTGTTAGTGCTATGAGATTACAGTTTTTGGTTCAAATTCTAGTTTCAACAGCAAAAGAAAAAACAAAATCCTTAAAAATAGAAAATATCTAGAAGTAAAAAGTAAGGCCAGGTGCTAGAGGTTCATGCCTGTAATCTTTGCTACTCAAGAGGCTAAAATCTGAGGATTGAGGGTCTAAGCTAGTCTGGGCAGAAAATCTGAGATTTTTTTTTTTTTTTTTTTTTTTTTGCAGGTCATGGAGCTTGAACTCAGGGCCTGGGTGTTGTCTCTGAGCTCTTCAGCTCAACTTGAGCCACAGAGCTCTTTCATGCCTGGGCTGACTTGAACAGCGATCCTTGTATCTCAGCCTCCTGCTGTAGTTAGGATTACAGGCGTGAGCCACCAGCACCTGGTCTGAGGCTCTTATCCCCAGTTTACTAGCAAAAAGCTGTGTGGCTCAAATGGTAGGGCGCTGCCTTGAGCAGAAAAAAAAAAAATCTCTGCTAAATTGAACACAAGACTCAAAAAGGGAAAAACCTCATACAACGATTGAAGAATAAAATGAGCTACAGCAAGGCTATTCAAAGGTCAGCCAAGAGAACAGAATTCTCACTGAGCAGCAGAAGAAAAGCCAAGAGCTTCAGGGAAAGGGAGGCAACCCAGAAATGGCTGGGGCTGGGCAGCTGGCAGTACAGACTTTATCCTGGATGATGTGAGCCAAAGATACATGGAAGTATCCAGAGGACTGGTGGCATTTAAGAGAGGAGGCAGTACTGACTTAGGAGATAAGCTATGGGTATGGGATGCAATCTCCCTTCCCATAACCAGTTGTCAACCCCAGTCTCTGGAGGCCACAGCGCCACTTCTGGTTTTCTGATGGTTTATTGGAGATAAGAGTCTCACAGACTTTCCTGCCTGGGCTGGCTTTGAACCGTGATCCTCAGATCTCAGCCTCCTGAGTAGCTTGGGTTATAGGCGTGCGTCACTGGTACCTGGCTGGTTTTTTCTTGCCTTTCCTAGGGTATTATCTATGTTTCAGTCTATGTCCCTTCCTTCTGTTAATTCAAATTCCTCTGGTCCAGGTTATTTTGATTCTTGAATTTGGTTCCTTTCTTTTGTGGATTGGTCTTGTTTCTGGTAATTAATTGTACTCATTTTTACATTTTCTGTGACTGCTTATCAAGGGTGGTCTCCACACCACACGCACACAGTCATTCCAGGCTTAGTGGCTGGTTAGGAGACTCCAACTCTGTGTGTGGGAATGGGTGTATGAAAGAGGTTTGTGAGGAAGAGATGTCAATGGCACATTAAGTATGCAATCTGGAAACAGGATTGTATAAATCTGCATTTGGTTGATATTGAGTTATGGAAAAGGAACTTAGTTCTGGCTCCAACAGTGGTTTTCAAGGTTATAACATTTACTGAAATGGGGAGTAGAGATAAAGAAGTTGGAAGAAAGCAATCAGAGGTTCAGTTTGGGAAGTGCTAGTCTGACAAACCCAAGAGATTCATATACACAGTCAACTGGCAGAGGAGAGGTCTGGGCACATACAGAAAATATTGAGCTGTCAATGTGAGTGGTATTTAAGACACAAGGATGGAAAAGATCCCTTCAAAGGGGGTAGAAGGGGCAAGAACACCAAGGAAGTTCAACATCATTGAGCAGGAGAGATGACACAGCAGTCAAAACCATCAAGCAGGAGCTGCCCAGATACATAGTACCAGGAAAGCCAAGAGCAAAGCACTGTTCCACACAGAGAAAGTGGCTCATGATGTCACATGCTTCTCAGAGGCAGAGAAGACTACAATCCCACTTATTGGATTCGACAACATGAAATTTGCTGACAAGAATAATTCAAATAAGGATAGTGACTGCAAGAGTAGGACTGGAATGGATGGGCAACTGGAAGTGAGGAATAGACAGTATGTGTAGACTTAACAATTCTGGCTGGGTGTAGTGGCCTTCTGTGAACCCAGCTACTCAGGAGGCTAAGGAAGGAAGATAGAGTTTGAAGCTACCCTGATGAAGCCTATTCATTTAAAATAGGTTTTAGGTGATAATGGAAGGCGTCACATTGATCAAGAAGTATTGTATTCATGACCTGAGTTAAGTTGTAATCTCTTTGTATAACTACTTAATAATAACAATAATAAAGAGGAGTCAAGAAAGAAAGTAGGGAGATGGCCATGGAGTCAAGGAAACACATCTGTTTTTCATTTTGTCGTTGTGGGGGCTTGAACTCAAAGCTTGGGCACAGTCTCTGAGTTTGTGCTCAAGATTAGTGATCAACCACTTTGAGCCACAGCTCCACTTCTGGTTTTGTGATGCTTAACTGGAGAAAAGAGTCTTACAGACTTTCCTGTGTGGGCTGGCTTCGAATCATGATCCTCAGATCTCACTCTCCTAAACTGCTAGGATTACAGAAATGAGAAACCAGTATCTGGCTTTTTTTTTTTTTTTTTTTGCTTATAAATACTGGAGCACATTTGCTCTACTTTGGATTTTTTGCTAACTGCAGCAGAAAGGGGAAAAAAGCATATGACTCAGCCCACATTAAAGAGAGAGTGGGGGCTGGGAAGGTGGCTCAGTGCTAGAGTGCTTGCCTTGCATGCATGAAGCTCTGGGTTCGATTCCTCAGTACCACATAAGCAAAAATAAAAATGCCGGAAGTGGCACTGTGACTCAAGTGGTAGAGTGCTAGCCTTGAGCTGAAGAGCTGAGGGACAGCGCCCAGGCCCAGAGTTCAGGTCCCACGACCAGACCCCCCCCCAAACAAAAAAAAAAGAGAGAGAGTGGCTTTTGATTGGAAAGGGGGTATCAGTGGCTCAAATCTGTAATCTTAGCTACAGGGAGGCTGTGATCTGAGGATGGAAGTTCGAAGCCAGCCTAGACAGGAAAGTTGTGAGATTCTGATCTCGAATTAACCACCAAAAGGCTAGGGTGGAGGTATTGCTCAAGTGGTAGAGTGCCAACTTTGAGCAAAAAAAGCTAGGGACAGGACCCAGGCCCTAAGTTCAAGTCTCAGGACCATCATAAATAAATGCTAATAAGCCATGTGCAGTTCAGGCACCTGCCACCTCCAGTCTCCATCCAGAGATTCAGTTTCTGCACCACAAGCTCTTCCCTCTTCCCCCGAGGACCAGAAGCTCAGGAAGGCAGGATGGCCAACACAGACACCCACTGAAGAGAACGAGCCTGGAAAGACACCTCTTAAAGAGTAGGACTGTAGTTTGAAATCATCATAAAAAGGCAGGCAATAATTAGACAATTAAATAGAAAAAAAAAGACACAAATAATGCTGCTTTTATCCTGCAGGTTTCAGAACCTGTCACAGGACTTTGCTCATAGGACCGGCCAGTCTGGGCCTCAGTTTCTCACTGCTGCATGATACAAAGTGGCGAGAGTGCAGCAGGTTCAACACCAGGCCGAACGACGGCCAGCCCTTCCCCCTGCCGGCGCCCTGGCTCTGCAGAGCCGCAGGTTCGCGCCGCGGACACATTACCTCGGGAGGTGCTGCGCTCGGACGTGCTGCGGGTCCGGGTCGGGCTCGCGCTGCGCCTCCTCGGGGCCTCGGGCTTGCGGCGCGGGCCCATGGCGGGCCGCGAGGGTCCCGGCGTCCGATCCTAGGGACCAGAGGCCGGCGGCCGGAAGGCAGGGAGCGCGACCCCACCTCGCGCTCCGGAGAAGCGCAGGATAGCGTTCAAACCGCCCGCGTTGACTGCTCAGTCGCCAGCGTTTTTTAAAACCCCAATGCAGAGGTTTCTAGTGGTTGACTCTGATGCCAGAGCGAAGAGCGATCGCGGGCAGGACCAATGACATAACAGACTAAGAGACCAGACGGCGGCGGTGATACGGCGAGAGTCAGGAGAGGGCGTAACCACCGCGGAATCAGCCAATGAGCACCTGTAGGCGGAAGGAAACTATCTTAGCTTGCGATTGGGAGATGGGGAGCTCCGGGGAAGGGGAACTCCCGGGAAGGGGGAACTCCGGGGAGGGGGAGCTCCTGGGCTGGGGGCGTGGTGCACTCAGGTGGTACCCAGCCAGCCTAGTAAGCTTCAGGCTCTGAGTACAAACCTCGTAACGAAAGAAGAGGGAAAAAAATAAGGAAAGCTAAGTTATGAAGCTGTGGATGGTTCATTTGTATTGGCAAATCACGTCCCTCATTTTGTTGCCTCATCAACTCAGAAGGGGCTTTAAAGATGAGGAAACAGACCCATATAGGGCCTGGGGGAGGGGGATGTTACACTCCCGAAGACAACCCACAAATATTCTAGAATCTGTTAAGTGTTTACAGACGATTAGGGGCGTGGGAACAGCCAGGATGGAGGGTTCTAAAGAGAAACCCCAGGGAGGGTAGGCATTAACGAAACTTGTGGATTATGCTGTCAAGTATGGTTTAAGAAATTGCCCCGAGGGCTGGGAAGGTGGCTCTGTTGTAGAGTGCTCGCCCCTCACGCATGAGGCCCTGGGTTCGATTCCTCAGCACCACATAGACAGAAAAAGACAGAATAATATGGATTCAGGTCATGTCTGGGGACTGACCTGAACATTTACTAAATATTCTACTTGAACGTGTACGGTAATCAGGAAAATCCTTAGTTACAAAATCAGTGATTTCAAGGAATGGATTGTGCAGGGCTGAGGGGAATGTAATATAGTACAGCTGCTACCAAAAAAAAAAAAAAAAGAAAATGGTTTGGATCTGAAATGTTTTCCCCAAAGCTCTCATGTTTGGGGGGGGGGGGGAGGGCTTCAGGAGGTGATTAGTTCTCTGTCCTGATGTTTATCAATTGAGGAATTCACACCTTGAAGGGTTTGGGGGCTGAGCTTTGTTAGAAAAGGCAAAACTCTATGATTCTTGGTCTCCAGAGGTGAGTAGCTTTTCCCTACACCTCCCAGCCAAGATGTTCTGCTCAAACAGCCTAGGTAAGCTTGAACTAAAATGTATGAGGCAAAAAAATAAATAAAAATAAAAATTTCCATTAAATTGAGTTTATTATGGGCCCAGGGCACCTGGAGCACATCTTGGCCTGGAAATGGATGGCAAAAGATACATAGTTTCAAAAGAAATTGCAACAAGAAACAAAACATCCTGCTTCTATCCTTCCATGCTTCTCAAGTTAATTACCTTGGAGCGAGGCAATTCAGGGCATGGACCTGATTGAGAATTCACAAGCAAAAAGCACTGAAGGAACTGATCAATAAATGTAACATTCCAAACACCTAATAGTGGAAAAGCCACATCCAAGTTAAGATTAGTCTGTTGTACTGTGCCTCATCTGCATAGAGGCAACCAATCAGAGAACAGCCCTGTGTATAACCAACCCCCTTCCCCAGACTCAGCTGATTTAGAGAACATCAGGTGAAATGTTCTATCAAGATACTTCTGAATAAAGTTTATCACACTAACACTTCCTCTGTGTGTGTACACTTTGTGAGACAAGAATCCAAGAAGACAATTGTAGGAGCAGTCACCAGTAAAACTGCACCGCTAACCGGGTTGACAGCTAGTATTCTCACTGCTAAGAGAGTCAAAAGGAACCACAAAGGTTCTAACTCAAAGGAGCTGCCCAGTGAGAAGAGCAAAGGAAATCCCTATCAATTCATTCTACTTTAGACAGCCCTTTGTTCAAAAACAAATAGCAAAAGAAGCCGAAGTTCATAAGGAATAGGAATGGCTCTCTATGAAGTAGTAGGTGGATGGAGACAGAGGAGGGAATAGTGTTTATGGACGTATACATTTTTATGTATTATCTTTTGTTTCAGTGTGGTGCATGTTAGGCAATCACTTTAACACGGAGACAAATCTTCTGCCCTCCTATTATTTATTTATTGTACTAGGCTTGAACTCAGGGCCTGGAGCTCCCTCAGCTTGCATGGTTGGCAGGTACATTATCACTTGAGCCACAACTTCTAGCCTGGCTTTTTGGATCTTATGTTGGCGGTGGAGTTTAGTAGACTTTTTTTTTTTTTGGTCTGGGCAGATTTTGAACTGTGATCCTGCAGATCTCAGCTTCATGAGTGACTAGGATTAGAGGTGTAGGCCACTGGTGCCAGGCTAAATTTTGATTTTTGATCCAGTTGAATTGGTAACCTGTTTTACGAATTAAATGAAATAAATTTTTAAATGGGTTGAGGAAGCTGAAGGAAAATACTAAACCTCCTTGGAGTGCCAGAAGATTTGAATGGAAAATGATAGATCCTAGGGCAATGGATAGCCCAATATAGGAGAAAGAGAAGGAAGATTAGTTTGTTGTGCCATCAGGTCTGAGAGACCTCAGCAAAGTCCTGATGGAACTATTCCCAGGTCTTCTTGAAAAGCAAAATTAGAGTTTAGAAGAAACATACCTGAGTTTTCTTGCAGGCTCTGAACCTGCAATTCTAGTGCAATTCTAGCATCCTTGATTTTTTTTTTTTTGTTCCTGTCCTAGGGACTTAGCACTGTCTCTGAGCTTTCTGGTTCAAGGTGAGTGCTCTACCATTTGAACCAAAGCTTTACTTCTGGCTTTTTTTTTTTTTTTTTGGAGTAATTTATTGGAAATAAGAATCTCACAAACTTTTCTTCTCTAGGCTGGCTTTGAACCTTTATCCTCAGAGCTCAGCCTTCTGAGTAACTGGGTACAGGGCATGAACTACCGATGCCTAGCTTATCCATGATCTTTGTAAGATTCTTTGGCATACCTGTGTTTAAGGCCATACCCATAGAGATGAAAATGAAAACAAGAAGAGAAATTGAAACATAAAATGGAAATAGATTCTGTCTTGGGTGACCTAGCAGCCCACTCTGCTGTCTTGGCTGAATGCAATGTCCTTTCTGACTCAGGAGAATCTAGATGTTTCCTAGTAAATATGTTTCTCCTGGCTCCCCAGCCAGCCTTTGACAATGGTTCACAATTTCTGTTCTGCTTGGCAAATGAATGACAGAGAAATGAGAGATGAAAATGGTCAGGACAATTAATTCTTTTGCTTTCTGGGCCTGAAGACAAGCAGAGCTCCAGAAACTCATCTGACCCTGGATTTTTGGAGGACATTTTGTGGTAACTTTAGCTCCATGCAAGCCATAAAATGAAGTCTCCTACTTTCTGCCAGTGGTTTGCAGGCATGTCTCTTCAGAGCTGTCTATAGGGAAGTGAATGGCTTTCTGTTCTGTCTTGCTTCTCCCCCATGACTTATTGCTGGTACTGGCACTATGTCTGTGGCCTCTTGGCTTTGTACACACAACCCTTAAGGAGACCTAGAAGAAGAGGATGATAATGCGAGGTGTCAGAATTCAGAAGAGGCTGGATAAGAACAAGAAAAATAGATTCTTTCCATTCAATCACTGCTCAGACTGCCACCCTCAGGGCTAAAGAAAGCACTGCCCCCTCTGAATTCTTATTCTCTCTGATCTCCATTACCTTTATCTTTTAACCAATACCCATTTTGGCTTGCTGTCTTCTGTCCAGCCTCCCACAATCCCATCTATTTCCCCCTAATGATTATAGAAGTCTTCTATGAATCTTCATTCTTCCTTTTCTGTTATGTTCTTGGAAATGCCCTTATCAGTTAACCTGAGCTCATTTTTTTTGTAGGGGGAGGGGTCTGTCATGGGGCTTGAACTATGGGCCTGGGTGCTATCAGCTCAAGGGGAGTACTCTACCACTTGAGCCACAGTGCTACTTCCAGTTTTCTGGGGGTTAATTGGAAATGAGTCGCATAGACTTTCCTGGCTGGCTTTCAACAGCAATCTTCAGATATCAGCCGCCTGAGTTGCTAGGATTACAGGTGTGAGCCACCAGTGCTAGGCTTTCATTGTGTGTGTGTGTGAGTCATGAGGCTTGAACTCAGCCTGGTCACTATCCCTAAGCTCTTCTGCTCAAGGCTAGTGCTCTACCACTTTGAGCTATAGCACCACTTCTGGGTTTTTTGGTGGTTAATTGAAGAGTCTCATGGACTTTCCTCCCAGGGCTGGCTTTGAACCTTGATCCTCAGATCTCAGCTTCCTCTGCAACTAGGATTATAGGCATTAGCCACCAGCAACTGGTTTGAGTTTGTTTTTTTTTAAAGCTTTATTTCCTGTTTATTGTTGCCTGCTATTTTTCATTTCTCTCTTAAAACTTAAGAAGGGAAACTATGTTTCCTCTGAAACCTGAGTGACAGGAAGTTTGGGGGGGCTGCTTTGGTATGTTTTGGATTCATCACTGGCAAGTCTTTTTTTTTTTTTAATCAGTCATGGGGCTTGAACTCTGGGCCTAGGCGCTGTCCCTGAGCTCTTCAGCTCAAGGCAAGCACTCTACCATTTGAGCTACAGAGCTACTTCCGGTTATCTGGTAGTTAACTGGAGATGAGTCTCACAGACTTTCCTGACCAGGCTGGCTTTGAACTGCGATCCTTAGATCTCAGCCTCCTGAGTAGCTAGGATTACAGGCATGAGCCACTGGTGCCAGCCATCATTGGTAAGCCTTGATGGCTTGGGGATCCTTACTCTTCTACAGCCATTGACAGGATGATTGGGGGTGGAAATGATGTCACAGTAGTAGAGAGGCTGGGGTGTGGTGTATGGTGTGGTGTATGTGTGTGTTGGTAAGCCAGCAGCTGGAGGACATAGACAGTGAGGAGGTAGGCACAACATTTTACTGGATGGAGCAGATTGAAGGAGCTGAGCTGGGGTTCTGGGAGGGGTGGTGGTGGTAGTGGTGGTGGTGATGATGCCTCCCTACTAAGGCTAACAGCAAGAAAACAAGGAGTATATGAAGAATTCCACCAACAGAAATTCTCCCCTTCACCTTGAGGATGATAACGCATCTGACACAGCAGGGACAGTAAGATATGGCTTGACATTCCAGCACAGGGGACAATTCCAGGTTAGTCTAAGGCTTGGAACTAACTTCCATCTGCTCTAGCCCTCCAGTTGGCTTGGGCCCACTCAATTGAATTTTTAGTTGATCATCTGCCCTCTTTTTCCTGCTTTTTCTTGTTTCGCTTTGTTTGTTTTTTTTGGGGGGGGGGGGGGGTCCGGTCGTGGGGCCTGAATTCTGGGCCTGGGCACTGTCCCTCAGCTCTTCAGCTCAAGGCTAGCACTCTACTACTTGAGCCACAGCACCACTCTCCGCTTTTTTCTTTTTGCTTATGTGGTGCTGAGGAATAGAACCCAGGGCCTCAGGCATGCAAGGCACCTTCTCAGCCCCTCTTTTTCCTGTTTGATCTTTTTTGGTTTGTCTATCTGCAGTGCTGGGGACCAAACTCAGGGCCTTGCTGATGCTAGCTCACTGCACCACAGAGCTGTATTCCTAGTTAAAGTGATACTTAGTGACTACAGCAAAATTCAAAACCAGAATCTCTGCACTTAATGGGAGGAAGCACGTTGATAGCTAATTTATAAGGCTATCTATGAAAACCCGTGCATTCAACTGGTTGAGAGTACATTGAACACCTGTTCTGAAAGGAACCAGAGGTGAGTGGAGGCTTAACGTATGGCTCCTATCCTCTTCAGTTTGGGGGAAACGTGCCATATACATGTATGTACTTATGTCATATACACATATATATCCTATATTCCAGTATAGAGTATGGAGCTAATCAGAGTTAACATGTTCTTTTCTAAGTACTTCAGATAGAATTAACTCATCTAATCCTCTCAACAACCCTGAGGGTAACACATATGTCTGTTTTACAAATAAGGAAAACAAGGCCCCAGGTAGTCAATCACGTAGGAAGTAGGTGAGTCAGGACTTGAACCTACCATCTGGCTGTAGAGTCTATGCATCCGTGGTGGAATGGAATGGGCAAGGAAATCTAGCTATGCCTGTAACTGGCTGTGTGACTGTGGAGAAATTCCTTCCACTCTCTGCACTCTAGGGTCTTCATCTGAATGAGTGGGGGAGTAGGAAATCTTTATGCATTTAGATGATGCTCCCACATGCCCTCTTGTGCCTCTGCCATTAAAAAAGAAATGAAGCAAGGAAGTCCAATACTGCCAACTTTTCATTTCTTCTTTAAAAAATAAAGTACAAACAATATTTTTATGCAAGGCAACTGTCACATTGTCTCCACCATGCTCCACAAATGACCATTACTTCCTTCTGGTTCTTGGCGTTTGTTGTTGTTGTTTTTTTTTTGGGTCCGGTCGTGGGGCCTGAACTCTGGGCCTGGACACTGTCCCTCAGCTCTTCAGCTCAAGGCTAGCGCTCTACCATTTGAGCCACAGCGCCACTTCCGGCTTTTTTCTTTTTGCTTATGTGGTGCTGAGGAATTGAACCCAGAGCCTCATGTATGCAAGGCAAGTGCTCTACCACTGAGCCACCTTGCCAGCCCCCAACTTGGCATTTTTTTGTGTGTGTGTGTTTTGTTTTTTGTTGGTTGTAGGGCTTGGGTGCTGTCCCTGAGCTCTTCAGCTCAAGGCCAGCCACAGAGCCACTTCTGGTTTTCTGGTGGTTTATAATAGATAAGAGTCTCCCGGTCTTCCCTGCCTGGGCTGGCTTTGAATCATGATCCTCGTATCTCAGCCTCCTGAGTAGCTAGGATTACAGGTGTGAGCCACCAGCACCTGGCCTGGTTCTTGTTTCTAGACAGATTCTCAATATATGGTCCAGGCTGGCCTCAAACTCATCTCCTGCCTCAATCTCCTGACTGCTGGGATTGCCAGCATGCACTGCCATACCTACCTTTCTTTTGCACTCTAGTAGAGTAGAGAGGTCCCTCTCTTGACACCCTGTAATAACCCATTGGAATCAAATGCGACCTGAGGTCTCCCTTTTCAAAAGCCTCCTTCCCACACATTCTACTTTAAGGAAAGTATTAGGTGTCTTATGACTGAGCTGTTGCTCAATCAATCCAGTGAGCAAAACTGGAATTAAGGCTGCCAGTGCCCTGCCATTCTAGATGTCGCCTCTCCATATCAGGGTGAGGGCACAAGCCATAGAGCCAGCTACAGAAACACATCCTGAAAATTCCAGAGGCCCAAATGGTAGGTGGGGCTCCAGGTCTGGAATGAGTCAAACCTGAGCTCCAGGAGGAAGGCACTGAGCAGCCTTCTCCAGGCCTTATTTTTTCCATCCACCTCTGAAGCTATTATGGGAAAAAGAAAGCACCTCACCCAATGCCCAAGATGCTGGAGTCACTCTTAAGTGAAAAAATGATGGCAAATCCATTATCCCGGAGGCTTTATGAAGTCAGGAGCCAGAGGTGTTTTAGGTCTCATCCAGCAGTCATGAAGCTGCCTAGATTGGGAGGGTCTTCCAGGTCCTCAGCCAGAGCTGATCGTAGCAGACCCCTCTTTTCAACCAACCTGTAACTCTGTGTCTATCTTCTCACCTTTAAAACAACAGAAGTTCAGCTGGGTGCCAGTGGCTCAGGAGACTGAGATGAGGATTGTGGCTCAAAGTCAGTCCAGGCAAGAAAGTTCATGAGACTCTTATCTCCAACTAACCAACAACAACAACAAAAAGCTAGAAGTGGAGCTTTGACTCACATGGGATAGCACTAGCTTTGAGAAAAAACGTAAGGGATAGAGCCCAGGCCCCGAGTTCAAGCCTCAGGACATGCATAACAAAAAGTTCTGCCAGTCATCTTAATGCTTGCTTGTAATCCTAGCAGCGGGGAGGCAGGAGGTATGAGTTTGAAGCCAGCTGGCTACCATGTCTCAAAACATAAGACAGAAAGAGAAGAGAGGTGAAGAGGAGAGAGAAGAGAGAAGAGAACGGAACGAGGAGAAAGGAGAGAGAGATTCATAGAAAGATGATTCCAGGATGCCTGGAACTCCGTTTACAGTCTCTCAGGCAGGGAGGTCTTGCAAATGAGGATGAGACTATGAGGATGAGGAGGGAGGCTTACAGAGCTGCTCTTCTTTTCTCACACGGGTCACAACCAGAGGCACACAGAATGCTGGATTGGAAGGTGTCCAGACCATAGTATGGTCTCATATGTTCCAGAGCAGACAGATGGAAGACACATGGAGTTTGCAGGGGAGTCCGGGAGGACAGCCAGGTCTTCTGCCAGGTTTACGGAATATCTTCCAGGTTTTAGAAAATACAATGACTGCCGTGTGCCGTGCCTCATACCTGAAATTCTAGCTACTCAGGAGGCTAAGACCTGGAAGAACACAGCTTGAAGCCAACCCAGGCAGAAAAGTTCAAGAGACTATCTCCAATTAACCTGCAAAAAGATGCCATACTGGAAGCTTAGCTCAAGTGGTAGTGCAAGCCAGGAGTAAGGAAGCTCAGAAATAGTACAAGACCCCTGAGTTCAAGTCCTGGTACTGAAAATGAAAAAACAAACCAACCAGTGGTTAGTTCTGGTTTAAATCTGCACACTGATTCAATGGCTTTTCTTCTGGAAGCTTATGGTTCATAAACTAGATAATCTATCATGGCAGTCTAGTTTATGATTCAGACATATTAGGATTGTAGAGCTGAGGGGAGTCACTATGCACAGGCTTGTGGGGGCTGGGTCCCACACCTGTGGTCTCTGGGGACAAAAAAGGGCGTGGGTGTTATCTTCTCTGACAGCAGCTGCCCTGGGAGGAGGGCAGTAAGCGGGAGCAGGGTGAGGCCTCAGGGACGGGGCACTAAAGCCTACCAGTCCTCATGGTCTCAGTCTTCAGGTGAAGGAGCAGCAGAGGCCCAAAGGGAGGCTCAGCTGGCTTCATTGATGGGAGTCCGGCTGTCACCCAGCAGTCTCTCATGTTCACCCTCTTGGGTGGGGCGCCAGCCCCTGGACAGGCAGGATAGCAGTGGGCGGTGCAGCCCATTGTAGAGGGCAGTGCCGGTGAGGAGGATGAGGAAGCCGAGGATCTGCAGTGGGTGGAAGGTCTCCCAGCCCAGTGCCAGGCTCACGGCCCAGATGACCACGGTGCGCAAGCTGTCCAGCACCATGCGGGTAGTGGCGCTCATTTCCTTGGTGACGCTGATGCCGGCAAAGTTGAAGAAGGCAATGCTGCTGATGTTGCCCAGCAATGCCACAGCGATTAGAGGTTGCCGGCCCACCTGGCAGAAGGCATCCAGAGCATCCTCCAGCGTCCCTTGAGGGTTTCCACTGAAGGAGCCAGCAGGGATGTAGTACATGGGGACCAGGCACAAGGAGAGGATCACGAAGCCAAAGAAGCCTGGGGGAGTGAAGAAGCTGGTCAACGTCTACCCCGCCCCCCTCCTCACAGCACAGCCACAGGCCCAGCATCTTTGACCTCAGGCTACTCTTGACTGGCATCTACAGTCTACTTGGGATCCATCCTCTACCTCTCCAGGACCCTTGGGCCTGAGCAATGGACTCTGACTGTTCTTTCTACCTCAACCAGAAGCTTTTTGTTGTTATTGTTGTTGGTGTTGGGGCTTGAACACAAGACCTTGTGCTCTCACTTATTAGTTTTTTATGGAAGGCTAGCTCTCTACACTTGGGCCACAACTCCAGTTTCATAAGTGGCTCATTACTTTCTTTTTTAATTGGAGATTAAGAGTCTCTCACATTTGTCTGCCTGGGCTGGCTTTGAACCATGATCCTCAGGTCTTAGCCTCCTGAGTATCTAGGATTAAAGGCGTGAGCCATCACTTTCTGACTTAGAAGCTTTTGACTGGACCACAAGTAGGCAATACATTTTAGGTTGTGACCTAGTATAGCGTGCATACACTCCCAAGACAACAGTTACCCTTACAATGTACCATACTTGCTCACATTTAAATTCTGTGCTTTTCAGGAAAAAGCAAAAAGAAACCTCCAAAACCCCACAGCCCTGCTGGTTCCAGCTCACTGCATTGTTTTCACCAAGTAGGAAAACAGCTCTCTAGTCCAGCACATGGCTGGTCTGAGATAAGAAGTCTGTGCTAGGATGTAAGTCAATACACTGTTTCACACAGTTGTGCTAGAAGAAGAAAATGAATGGCAACCAGGGATGGGTGGATCATATCTATTACCTTAGTTATGCAGGAAGCTAAGATCTGAGAAATGAGGCTTGATGGAAGCCAGCCAGGGAGGACAATTCTAAGAGACTCTTATCTCTGATTAAGCTGCAAAAAAAGCCAAGGGAGAGCATGTGGCCTAGAGTTCAAATCCCAGTAATAGCACCAAAACCTGGTGCTCACACTTATAATCCTAGCAACTCGGAAGGCTGAGATCTGAAGACCACAGTTCAAAGCCAGCCCGGGCAGGAAAATCTGTGATCTCCAATTAATTAATTAACAGGTGCTTGTCTCTGGGCCACTCTGGCGCACAGCTATAACCTATATTGCTAATCCTTTATTTTTCAAGCAAAATTTTGATGGTTGCTTGCCTAGTAACAACCTTCATTGGCTCCTCTTGTTATCTAGTTTAAGTCTACTTACCTAAGGGTCTCCATCAAACTTCATTCCTCATTATTTCCCCACAGCAAGCCTATACTCTATATTATTTCTATTTTGCTCCCCAGGCTTTTGGTTCTGTTTTGAGGTCCCTCCTCTCCATTCTTGCCTGTTGGAAATGTGGCTCTGACATCACTTTCAAGATATCACTTGAAGACATCACTTGAACGTTAGTGGTCCAAGCCCAGTGTACTGCCTGGCCCTTGCCGCCTGCTGCCTTCCCCAGCCTGACCCACCAGCTGTCAGGACCTGTCAGCTCCTATCTGGGGGAAAAGGAAGGTGTGGACTGGGCAGTTTAGCTTCCAGTAGGGCTGCTAGTACCTGCCCTGTGTGTGGCTGATACAGTTCACATCCCTTGCTGCCCTTGGTCCCTGTGACAAGATGTACCTTCAGTGCCCACTGCCCGAAGTGGGTGCACGTTGTGTTTGTAGATGAACTTCTCCTCAAGCACCATCTGGATGGCAACGATGATCTGGGCCATGATGATCAACAGGTCCCCTGAGGAAAGGAGGTTCAGGTGAAACCAGGGCTGCACTATGAATAGGGGTTGGTGACAGGAAGGCCCCAGGAACAGAATAACTGCCAGCTTATAACTTTTTGGGATACCACATGGCAGTTACAATTCCATTCCCTGGCTCCCTGGCCTGAGGGGCAGGCGGAGGCTCCAGAAGGTCTAGCGACCTTTTTGGACTGGAGACCTGCACAACTGGCCAAGCAGGTCGTGTAAAGAGCAGCAGGCTTAAAACAAGACATCTCTGGCTTAATCTTGACTGAGTGACCAAGGGCAGTCATCCCATTATAAAGTGGTTCCTTTGGGAAGGCTACTGTGATGGGGAACACAGAGACCTGAGCTCGAGGCTAGGCCTGAGGCAAGTGCTCCATAATGTTCTTCCTGTCTCTTACCCAGACCAGCAATTTGCATGTACATTTATGAATCACAACACCAAACAGTCTCTTCCTTGGACCTTCCAATCTTTACCTACTCCTCTCACGCTGTGCCTCTTCTTTGGCCATCATGCCCCTCTCTGCTCTCCCTTACTTTCTCCATCCCTTTAAGAACAGGTGTGTGCCCTTATCCTGTACTACGTAGGGCAGAGGTTGTCTAAGTCTGTGGGACAAATCTGGGCAAGATCAGATCCCTAGGGAGGGGACAGGACAGGACAGCAGCCTGGGATACCTACCTGTGATCACTTCACTGAGCTTGTGCTGACTGTCGTCCTTGCTCAGAAGGTCAGCCAGGCCCACGACAACTAGCCCTGCGATGGTGGCCAAGATACCCAGCCACTGGCTTGGTGCCAGCCTCCGGCCCAAGAAAGCCACTGAAAACAGGCCGGTAAATATGATCACAGCACCTCGCAACATCTGGAAGCTGGAGGCACTGGTCATGTTCAGGGCTAGGAGAGGAGAGATAGGATAGTTAGGTCTGGAGGGCAAAGGCTGGCTGCTACTGAGGGCCCTCCAGGACCGAAGACAAATCCAGCACACAGGAAACCTCTGTGTGTGTGTGTGTGTGTGTGTGTGTGTGTGTGTGTGTGTGTGTGTGTGTGTGTGTGTGTGTGTGTGTGTGTGTGTGTGTGTGTGTGTGTGTGTGTGTGTGTGCAGTGTCTGTGGGGGGATGGTTTCAATGGTGGCCCTTTCATGCATAGGCCGTGTGTGTGTGTGTGTGTGTGTGTGTGTGTGTGTGTGTGTGTGTGTGTGTGTGCAGTGTCTGTGGGGGGATGGTTTCAATGGTGGCCCTTTCATGCCTAGGCCTCATTGGGCCTTGTTCAGCCTGGCTGGCTACTTACCCACATACATGAGGCTGGTCCCCGTCATGTCACAGAGGGCTGGGGGCAGGAAAATAAGGGAATTGAAGGGCTGCTGAAGGTCCACATTGGAGTCTGACTGCCCTGTGGATCTGCACCGGAGCAGGAAGAAGGCAGCGAGACAGGAGAACTCTCCCAGGAACATGCCCACAGCCTGCAGGCACAAGAAGCCCGCCCGCATTCCATGCTGAAGGGATCCTGGGATCATCCTTAGCAGTACTGTTTGTTAATGAAACCTTTCTTCAGACCATAACTCACCCAGAACCCTGACATGTTAAACACACAAAAGCAGAGCTGCAGTAGAAGCCCAGATAGTCTCCTGGATCTGCCCAGAAGCCTCCAAACCATTCCAGTGGAAGCTCTAAGGGGGTGTGACCCTGTGTGAAGACCTCCATTCAGGCCAACGTCTCACCGTGGTCCACATGAAGAAACTGAGGCTCAGAGAGGTTCAAAGACTCATGAAAGGTTACAAAGAAGGCGATGGCAGATGGGGAAATCTGTTTTTGCAGACTCCAGTCCAGTAAAAGTGTGTCTTTTATTGATGGGATCTGCCCCATCCTGCTGGGGGTCTGGTCTCAAGGTGGATGGAGAACAGGCCTTTGCCGCTGGGGCTGGCACTTTCTGCATGCCTTATGATTAGTGGGGGCAGAGTCCCAGCTAGGACTTGTGTGGACAGGCCTCCCCTGTGTCCATGGCCTTTTTCCAGGGGCACTCTCAGATCCCTTGACTGTTCTGGGAGAAAGGCAGACAGTTTTTCTGGGATCAAAGCATCTCTATCCCTAAGCTAGAAAGCAGCCTAATGTCAGGGTCCCTGTGTGAGCTTTGGGAGACAGGTGGGAGAGCAAGGCCAGTACCTGGAGGAAGGGGTGCTTGAAGGGGTGCTCCTTGCTCCCTCCGCAGCCCTCTGCTGAGAAGTTGTCTGCCCACCTGCATCAGAGAGAGGGAAGGTCAGCCTGGCAGCACACAACAGGTACTCTCTTTTGCCTGGTTTTAGAGCCCAAGCCCCGCCCCGTTCCTTCTCAGAAGGTCCAGTCCCTATGGTGTGGAATCAGTACGTTCTGTTTTCTTTCTTTTTTGGGTCCGGTCGTGGGGCCTGAACTCTGGGCCTAGGCGCTGTCCCTCAGCTCTTCAGTTCAAGGCTAGCGCTCTACCACTTGAGCCACAGCGCCACTTTCAGCTTTTTTCTTTTTTCTTATGTGGTGCTGAGGAATCGAACCCAGGGCCTCATGCATGCAAGGCAAGCGCTCTACCACTGAGCCACCTTCTCAGCCCCTGTTTTCTTTTTTTAGTGTATGTGTATGCTGGTCCTAGGGCTTAAACTCTGAGTCTCGTGTTTTCCCTTGGCCTTCACTTGCGCCACAACTCTAGCTCCTTGTTTTATTTTTGAGATAGGGTTCCATAATGTAACTGGGCTGGCTTTGAACTTGTGGTGTTCCTGTTTCTCAGAGATAGGTATGTACCAGCACTTCTGGTAGCAAATATTTTTTTTTGGTCATGGGGCTTGAACTCTGGGCTTGGGAGTTGTCCCTGCGCTCTTTAGCTCAAGGTGAGTGCTCTACCGCTTGAGCCACAGTGCGACTTCTGGTTTTCTAGTGGTTTATTGGAGATAAGATTCTCATGGACTTTCCTGCCCAGGCTGGCTTTGAACGGTGATCCTCATATCTCAGCTTCCTGAGTAGCTAGGATTACAGGCATGAGCCACCAGCGCCCAGCTAGCAAATTTACTTTTAAATGTTTGATAACTTTGTTTCAACTTAATTGGCTTCTGAAATCTCTGGTCTTTTATTTGTACACTTAAAAACATTACTCTAAAAAAATTACTCTAAAAGAACCATAGGTCACATCAGCCTGCCAAAAGGACCTATGGCCCAGTATTAAAAGCTTCCGGTCTAGCCCAGAGCTGGTGGCTCATGCCTGTAATCACAGAGACTCAGGAGGCTGAGATCTGATTGTGGTTTTAAGCCGGCTGGGACAAAATAGTCCATGACATTCTTATCTCTAGTCAACTAGCAAAAAGCCAGAAGTAGAGCTGTGGTTCAATGGTAGAGTGCTGGCCTTGTGTTTAAGCACCTTTTTTTGTGACACACACACACACACACACACAGACACACACAGACACACACAGACACACAGACACACAGACACACAGACACACACACACACACACACACACACGTGATAACCTCTGATTATCTCTAGAGCCAGAGATGACCACCTGATTGTTTTCAGAGCCTGAATGGCCCTCAAGGTCCTTCTAATGCTAACTTTAAAGCAAGTGGCAATGCATTGCAGTCATGAAGCAACAGGCCAGTGACAACTGCAGCAGATGGCCAGATCTGCAGCACTGGGCCCCACACAGCCCAGAACTCTTCAGAGCACACCACTTCCCGTAGCTCCACTGGTCATTCCAAATCATCTGTTACCTGGCATGAAAGCTCCTCTCCTTAATTTCACTTTTGCTGACTATTCTGTCTCCAGAATTGTAGTACAATTTTTCATTTAAAGACCTTTTGGACATTTGGAGATTTTCTGACTTTATTATTCTTCTTGTTCCTATCTAAACGGTCCCAGCTTTTGCTAGTCTTTTGCTCTTCAGGCTGCTGACTTCTGGAAATGCTCTAGAAGATCAAGACCTGAGCCTCAGATGAGATTTGACCTGGACACTGGCAAGAAAATGGTGGTTCCCTTGCAATGACATCATGGGTCAGCTCACACAGCTCTACTGCACTAGCCATGTCACCTGATGACTCGTCAACACACATCTAGAGCTGTTTGCTTTGGGCCAGGACCTGCTCCTACCATAGCACCTTGTACCAGCCAGTGGATGGGTTTAAAGTGCAAGACTTTGGATTTTTTTTTCCAGTGTTGGGGATTGAACCCAGGGCCTGTGTATCCTAGGCAGGCTCTCTACCACTATAACCCCAGCCCAAGGCATTCCTTTGTGAAACGCCTCCTTGAAATGTCTTGCCAGGGCTGGGTGCCAGTGGCTCATGTCTGTAATCCTAGAAACTCAGGAGGCTGAGATCCAGAGATGTGGCTTGAAGCCAGCCCAGGGATTCAAGGAGCTTCTGTCTCCAAAATAACCAGCAAAAAGCTGGGCTAGAGGCATGACTCAAGTGGTGAGTGCCAGTTGAGAAAGCCAGCTGAACCAATGGAAGGCCTTGAGTTCAAACCCCATTACTGAAAAACAAAAAAATATAGACTGTCTTGCTAGAGCAACCATGTGATGGTACACTGCCCATGCTGCTGTCTTACCTGAAACAAGCTCTAGCTCCTAAAGTAAATGGGCATGGGATTAAGGAAAGAAGTTCTGACATGACTAGTTAGGTCACAGACAGAACTCTGGACCCCTGTACAGGCCAGAGTGCCAGGCAGTAACCAGTCCTAGTACCAACAGAGCAAAGAAGGCATACACTACTGGACATAACCTTCTAATTTCCAGGGCCTGATCTCTCATTCTGGCCTTTGGGTCTTCAGGCAGGACAGGACATGGGACATGGATAGGGGTCCTAGTCAACAAGTATGGGTTGCCAGGCAGGCCTGCTTCAAACCCAGGCTTCCTTGGCAGAAAAACTCCCTTGCGATGGCCCTGGAAGAGTCAATGGAGTAAAAGGGAGAAGGAAGAGTGAAGGAGTCAAACTTTATGGAGGGCATGGGGCCTACTGCCTCCAGAAAGCCATGGTCACACAGGAACTAGCAGGGCTGGACAAGGGAGGTGCTGCCCAGTCCAGGAAAGTCCCTTGGGAGCTTTGGGACAAGGACCTGTCTTCTTTAGGGGGTGTGGCAGGAATAGAAGCCTGTTTTTTGTTTTTTTTTAATACCATCACTGTGGTGTCACAGCTAGACCACAGGCTGGCAGATCAAGAAGTCTCTCCTGATCTAATAGGACAACAGCAAAACTCACCCTGGGCCACTGTCTGTGCAGCTGATGGCTGTGGTCTATTCTGGTTCCACATTCACTGTGGTTTGAGCGAGCTCAGCAGCCAGTCCTATACTCTCAGTCCCGGCTCTGGGACTATAATGAACCAACCTTTTTTGGAGAGCGAGGGCTGGTTGCATTTTTATTAGATACGCATTAATCAGGCCAACATCACCAGCTACTTCACCTGCCATTCTGTGTGAGCAACCTGCACATCTACATTTAGTCCAAGAAATGAGGATCAAGAAGGGACAAGGGCCCTAGCACTCACCACTCCTGCTGCATCTGTTCCTGAATTCAATATGACATCCAGGAGAACTTACTTTTCTGAACCCCAAAGGAAAAGCTGGCTTCTAGAATTACCTGGGGAAATGAGAACTCAGGAGCTGAGTTTGAGGACTAACCACAAACCAGTATTAAAAATCAATTCTTTGTACCGTTACATGTTCTTCACATATCCGGAAATATTTCCACTCGCTCCCTAGCATCACAAAAAGAAGTCTCCAGGACTCCAGAAACATGAGTATCTTTTCCAAGTCCTGAGCACTCATAGATCACCCAGCAAGTCTGCCAGCAGGTGCCAGGCTTCTAGAAGTCATGTTCTGAAGGCTGCAGGTTTGTGCGGAGCCTGTACATGTGACTGAGTGCTTGTATGAGGAAAGCCACTCTAGTGTTAACCTCCATCAAGGTCAGGTTATACAGCTTGGTGTGTGCCTCCTGCTGCTGCATAAAGCTGTCAGCAGATACCCAGAGCTTGGCCATGCATCGGTCTCTCAGATCCTTGAGGAGGGTCTGGATTGCCTCTGCTTTGGAGAGGTTGTCTGAAGTGTGATTCAACAGGAGTTTAGTGAGCTCCATGTAGTAAGGGCTGGGCATGTGGGCAAATGTTTCCTCCTTTCCTTCATGATCCTTCAGCTTCTGGCACCTTTTCACATCATTCCAGGCTGGAGGCAGCATGCAGCGCTTCTGCCTCTACTTTAGGTTGAGAGCCAGCCACAGTGCCATGTCCATGGGAAGGCCCGGGTTGAATGGTCCTAGGTTCCTCCCCCCCCCCCACGCCAGTGAGGTAGATTTTGTCCAAATTGAAATTAGGGATGGTGGTAACCAACTCTTTCTTGGCCAGAAACTACCTCAGCCATGACAGTCTCAGCGGCCGGTGGGGGAACTGAGTCTCCACAAGAAAACCAGGTGTCTGGGGCTGGGAAGGTGGCTCAGTGGTAGAGCGCTTGCCTTGCATGCTTGAGGCCCTGGGTTCAATTCCTCAGCACCACATAAGCAAAAAGAAAAAAGCCGGAAGTAGCGCTGTGGCTCAAGTGGTAGAGTGCTAGCCTTGAGCTGAAGATCTGAGGGACAGCGCCCAGGCCCAGAGTTCAGGCCCCACGACCGGACCCCCCCCCCCAAAAAAAGAAAAAGAAAACCAGGTGTCTGGGAAGAAATGCCCACTACAGAACCGTTTTTGTTGAGCAAATGAGAGTGCCAGATCCCACCCAGGAATGCAAAAGGGCTGAGGCCCAGAGGCTGCATCTTCAGGAGTCTGAGGTGCCCCTGATGGGGAGCAAGTTGAGCCAGAGGTGAGACTTGGCTGGGGGGGGTCAGAAGGGGGTTTCTGCTTCAGGGTGGGGTACTTCATAGGAAGATGACTGCCAGCTCGGCTGCGCTCCCTTCGCCCCATCAAAGGGGTAGGTGTTTTGGCTTTCCCCACCATGCAGGTCTGTTGGGACAGGCCTTGCTGGCTGCCTTCCCGCTAGGGAAATGCAATCTTTTTGTATCTAAGAGCCCAGCAGACTTGGGGACTAGGTATCAGCATGAAAGGACACCTTGCTCAGTTATTTCTTCTTGTCAGGGAGAGACACTCAGGCCTGCAGGTACCCCAGGATGTGCATCAGGCTTTAGTTCACTGTGCAGGGTTAGGACTTGGGGTCTTACAACCAAGAATCAAAATTCAGCTTCTGTTTGAGAAGAGCCATGACACCCATGCAGGACGGCACACTTTGTGTTTGCCAATGCTTCAGAGACACTCTTCACTGAGTACTGCCTTGGTTCCTGGTCTGTGTTGGACACAACCTGTGGGCTGTCCTGGATAAGCCTTCAAAGATGCACCATTTCAGAGGGGAACTCCAAGGTTCAGGGTGTAGATAGCTGCTTAGATCTATTCATTTAACACTCTGCAGCCCTGGGGTCAGAAAAGCAGCAGAAGCTGGGTATAGTGGTTCGCCCTTCTATTCCTCCCTACATGGGAGAGAGTGATTAGGAGAACTGCAGCTGAAGGCCTGGCAAGGCAAAAGTTTGCAAGACCCCACCTAAACCAATAAAAATGTGGATTGGTGGCATGTACTTGTCATCCTCGCTATGCAGAAAATGAAAATAGGACTGTGGTCCACGT